GGTAGTGAGGTTGGCCCAGGATCGGACATTGTTTCGTTCTGCTGTGCATGGGGTCGCTATGAGTCGGTTCTGACTCGATGGCACCTGACAACAACAACAAAATGCTTTGTTTAACAATTTTAAGCTATAGAATTATGTTCCTCTGTGTGGTGTGTTGCTCTGATTTCATTTTCTTATGTGGCATGATTCAAAAAGTGAATAAACAGCAGCAAACATCTGGTATTAATTGGAACATGGAATGTCTGAAGTATAAATCAAAGAAAATTGAAGTTGTCAAAATAAATGAAATTTAGTGCTTGAAGATTGATAATCCTAGGCATTGGTGAGCTGAAGTGAACTGATACTGGCCATTTTGAATTAGATGCCAAGAAAGACAAAGAAGACTGGTGTTACATTCATTGTCAAAAAGGACATTTCAGGATCCATCCTGTGTTGTCATTGATACGATAATATCCATATGCCTACAAAGGAAGACCAGTTAATACTACTATTCAAATTTACGCACAGTGTTAATGCCAAAGATGAAGATGTTAAAGATTCTGCTGTCTGAAATGTATCAAACATTAAATCAAGATGCACTGATAGTTACTGGTGATTGAAATATGAAAGTTGGAAATAAAGAAGGATCACTAGTTGGAAAATATGGTGTTGGTGATAGAAATGATCCCAGAGATTGCCTGACAGAATTTTGCAATACTAATGTCTTATTCATTGCAAGTACCTTTTCCCGCAGCAATATAAGTGATGACTATATATGTGAATAAGGAAGACCATAGAAGAATTGTTGCTTTTGAGTTAGGGTGTTGGAGGAGAATATTGAAAGTGCCATGGGCTGCCAAAAGAACTAACAGATCTGTGTTGGAAGAAGTGCAGCCAGAGTGCTCCTTGGAGGCCAGGATGGCCAAACTTCATCTCTTATACTTTGGACATATTGTCAGGAGGGACCAGACTCTGGAGAAGATCTTGTGTTTGGTAAGGTGGAGGATCAGAGAGAAAGAGGAAAATCCCCAATGAGATGGATTGGCCAAGTGGCAGCATAGATGGACTCAAGCGTGGCAGCAGTAGTGAAGTTGGCCTAGGATCGGGCAGTGTTTCGTTCTGCTGTGCATAAGATCACTATGAGTTGGTACTGATTCGATGGCATCTAACAACAACAAAAATATATGTGAACCTCACCAGATGCAATACCCAGGATCAACAATGTCTATGGAAAGAGACTGTGGAAAAGCTCCATATCATCAATCAGAACAGGGCCAAAGGCCAACAATAGAACAGATCATCAATTCCACACATGCAATATCAAATTTTGAAGCTAAGAAAAATTAAGCAAGTCTTGAACAGAAAAAATATGACCTTGAGTATATTCCACCAGAATTTAGAGACTGTCACAAGAATAGATATGACACGTTGACCAATATTGACCGAAAGCCAGAGAAGTGTGGGATGCCATCAAGAATATAAAATATGAAGAAAGCAAAACATCATTAAAAAGATCGAAAAAAGAGACCAAATGGATGTCAGAAGAGACGCTGAAGCTTGCTCTTGCATGCAGAGAAGCTAAAGCAAATAGAAGACATGAGGAAATAAAAGTAGAAAATTTCAAAGGGCAACTTGAGAAGACTAAGTCAAATATTGAAATGAAATGTGCAAAGACATGGAGTTAGAAAACCAAAGGAGAAAGACATGCTCAGCATTTCTCAAACTGAAAGAACTGAAGAAAAAATTCAAATCTTGATTTGCAATATTGAAGGATTGCTGTTGTGTTGCTATAGGATCAGCACTGGAGTGCACACCACAAGGTCAGCTGTTGAAACCCACTTGTTGCTCCTTGGAAACCCTATAGAGGGCCGCTATGAGTCAGAACCTATTGATGGCACTTAACAACAACAACAACAAGAATGGGTAAAATATTTAACGACACAAGAAGCATCAAAAAAAGATGAAAGGCATACTCAGAGTCACTGTACCAAAAAGAATTCAGCCATTTCAAGAAGTAGCATATGATCAAAGACTGAAGGTATTAAAGGAAGAAGTCCAAGCTACACTGAAGGCATTGATGAAACACAAGCCTCTGGCAATTGATAGAATACCAACTGAAATATTTCAGCACTGAAGGTGCTCACTCATCTGTTCTAAGAATTTGGAAAACAGCTACCTGGCCAACTGATTGGAAGAGATCCATACTTGTGCCCATTCCTAAGAAAGGTGACACAAGGAAAGCAGAAATCATTGTACAATATCATTAATAGCACATGCAAGTAAAATTAAAACACAGCTGTAGCAGTACATCAGCAGGGAGTTGCCCGAAACTCAAGCTGTATTCAGAAGAAGACATGGAATAAGGAATATCATTGTTGACATCATATGGATCTTGCAGAAAGCAGAGAATAACAGAAAAAAGTTTATTTGTGCTTTATTGACTCTGCAAAGGCATTTGGCTGTGTGGATCATAACAAACTATGGATAACATGGTGAAGAATTGGAATTTCAGAACACTCAATTGTATTCATGCAGAACCGATACATAGACCAAGAGGCAGTCATTAGAACAGAATGGGGATACTGAGTGGCTTTAAATCAAGAAAGGTGTGACCCAGTGTTATATCCTTTCACCATATGTATTCAATCTGTATTTTAGCAAATAATCTGAGAAGCTGGATTATATAAAGAAGAACATGGCATTAAGATTGGAGGAAGACTCATTAACAATTTGTGCTCTGCGGATGACACAACTTTGCTAGCTAGAAGTACAGGGAACTTGAGGTACTTACTAATGAAGATCAAAGCCTTCAGTATGGATTGTACCACGTATAAAGAAAACAAAAATCTTCACAACTGGGATCAATAAATAACATCCTGATACAAGATTGAAGTTGTCACGTGATTTCATTTTACTTGAATCCATAATCAACACTCATGGAAGCAGCAAACAAATGATGTATTGCATTAGGCAGCAAACAAATGATGTATTGCATTAGGCAAGCCATGACATTTTCTGTTGCCTCATATACATATGAAAGCTGGAAAATAAATAAGGAAGACCATAGAATTGATTAATTTGCATCATGGTGATGGTAAATAATATTTAATATACTATGGACTTCCAGAAGAACAAACAAATATATCTTGTATGACATGCGACCAGAATGCACCTTAGAAACAAGGATGGTGAAGCTTTGTCTCAATACATGTTATCAGGAGGAGAAGGACATTATGCTTAGTAGAGAGTCAGTAGAGGAAGTCCGGTTTTGAACTGACACGGTAGCTGCAACAATGGGTTCAAACATAACAATGATTGTGAGGATGGTGCAGGACTGGGCAGTGTTTTAGTCTGTTGTTACGAGTTGACACCAACTTGACATCTAACAACACATATACGTGTGTGTCATTGTATGCTTAATTTATGCTTACCCATAATATTTTCCCTCTGGAGATATTTGTAAGTTCTAGAGTTATAAAGGAGTCCTGTTGAGGAGCTGTAGGATAAGCATGGGACTGCTAGCCATAAGATCAGTTCAAATCCACCAGCTACTCCTTGGAATCCTTATACAGGGTTTCTATGAGTCAGAACCACCATGATAGCACTTAATAACAACAGCATTGTCACCTATGCTGTTGCTGTGTGCTGTTGAGTCAGTTTCTGAGGCTGTCAATCTTTATGGGAGCAGAAAGCCTCATATTTGGAGCAGCTGGTGGACTCAAACTGCTGACTTTGTGGTTAGCAGCCCAATGCATAAGTCACTACACTACTAAAGATCCTTATAGTCTGATTGTACCATCATTAAATGATTTTTCTCCACTTTATTTCTCATGTTGCAATTTTTTCAACATTATGTGTATTTATGTATATTTATATATAAAATGAATCTTGCTTTTGCAGCACTTAAATGCAGAAAGGTCTTACAAGTCCCAGATTGCTACTTTACATAAATCCGTTGTAAAGATGGAAGAGGAGCTTCAGAAGGTCCAGTTTGAAAAAGTGTCCGCCCTTGCAGATTTGTCTTCCACAAGGGAGCTCTGTATTAAACTTGATTCAAGCAAAGAACTTCTTAATCGGCAGCTGGTTGCTAAAGATCAAGAAATCGAAATGGTATGTAGCATCTTATTGAAAAGATTTTGAAAAAATTCGTTGTTAAACTGTAAATTGCTACAATTTTAGAGAAGTAGAATTTTACAAAATACTCATCAAACCATGTCTTTCTACTTTTGATTTTATTCTTTCATGAATTGATTTTACACTTTTGTCAAAGATCAATTTGACCATGTTTGAGTGAATTTATTTCTGGGCTCTCTGCTATTTTACATTGATCTGTGGGATTGTTTTTCTGCCACATAGTTTTCTCTGCCACAAGCTACTTACTGTAGCTTGTAGTAAGTCTTCAAATCAGGTAGACGGATTTATTCTACTTTATTTTTCTTTTTCAAAATGATTTTAGCTAATCTGAGTCCTTTGCTTATTCATATAAATTTAGAATAATCTTGTCTAAATCTGTAAAAACATTGGTGTGATTTTTATAGAAGTAGTGATAAATCTGTTTTTGCCATTTGTAGAGAATTGATATTTTTACTACGTTGAGGTTTCCAATTTATGGACAGAGTATGGCTCTTCATTTATTTAGATACTCTTTGATTTCTCTCAGTGTTTTACAGTTTTGTTCAATTGACATGTATTTCTTTTTTAGCTATTGTAAATGATATATATTTTTTTATGTTGTTATCCACATTTTCACTGCCAATATATAGAAACAGTGGATTTTTATATGTTTATCTTATATTCTATGACCTCACTGAACTCAGTGATCAGTTCTACAAGTTTTTCTATAGATTCCTTCAGATTTTCTACATAGGCAATCATGTTATCGTTAACAAATAGACAGTTTCCCTTCTTCTTTCAGATATGTGTGCCTTTTCTTTCTTTATTGCATTGGCTAGAGCCTCCGGCCCTATATTGAATAAGAGTGGTGAGATTAGACATTCTTGTCTTGTTCCCTATCGAAGGGAAACAGCATTCAGTCTTTCCCTCTTAAATATAATGTTATCTAAAGTGTTTTGTAAGGATCTGTGGTAGTGTAGTGGTTACGAGTTGGGCTGCCATCCTCAAGTTCAGCAGTTTGAAACTACCAGCTGTTCCGCGGGAGAAAGATGAGGCTTTCTGCTCCAATAAAGATTTACAGCCTCGGAAACCTTATGCAGGGTCACTGTGAGTCGGAACCGACGCCACGGTACTTAACAACAAAAAAAGCATTCTGTGGATATTTAGGTTGATACTCTTTATTAAGTTGAAGAAGTTATGTTTTATTCCTATACTGTAGGATTTTTTGGTATGAATGGGTATTGAATTTTGTCAAGTGATTTTTTAGTTCCTACATCAAATTAACATGATCGTGTGATTTTTTTCTTTAGTCTATTGATGTGATAGATTATACTGATTGATTTTTCTAATATTCAATAGCGTTTCATCTCTTGAATCACTCACATAATTTTACATGGCCAAGGAGAGGGTAAGGGCAAAAGTTTTATCTCTTGTTTCCTGTAAAAATGGCCTAAGGCATTATGAAACCTTGGGTCAAAGTTTTCTTTTCCTTTTTAGAAAGTTTTATTGAAATGTAGTTCATATGCCATACAGCTCATCTAGATCTTAGTTTTCTGTCTTTAAAATGGATGTAATGTATCTATTATCTAAATCTTCTCAAGAGAAGCTTTGAGAACATGAATTTTAATTATTCTTCCTTTGGTGGTGGTAGTGGTGTGCTTTGGAGTCGGTTCCAACTCATAGCGACCCTGCACAGGGTTTCAGAGGCTATAAATCTTTACAGGAGCAGAATGCCTCATCTTTCTCCCATGGAGTGGCTGGGGGTTTCAGACTACTGACCATGAGGTTAGCAGCCTGACTTATAACCACTATGCTACCAGAGAAATCTTGAGAACATAAATTGGAATTATCCTTCCTTTGTTGTTGTTGTTGTTAAGTGCCGTCGAGTCGGTTCCGACCCATAGCGACCCTGTACAGGGTTTCCGAGGGTGTAAATCTTTAAGGGAGTAGAAAGCCTGATCTTTCTCCCGTGGAGCAGCTGGTAGTTTCGAACCACTGACCTTAAGGTTCGCAGCCCGATTCGTAACCACTATGCTACCAGAGCTCCTTTAGCACTCTTTAATTAATACATACCTTATGAGTTATTTCCTTAGGAATAATATTAACAGTACTCTGCAGAATCTTATAATTTTTAAATGAAAGCAAAAAATATTTTTAAAAATGTTGCTATAGTCTTAGGCTACACTGGATTTTAGAACTTAGAACTAGAGCATAGGACTTTCTTCCAATGTAAATGTTTTTGTTATAGTTCCTTCTAGTCCATTTCTTTCCCTATTCAAGACTTTTGCATGAAGTTGTTGTTAAATGCCATTGAGTTGTTTCCAACTCACAGGGTTTCTGAGGAGTCATTGGTGAGTTTGAACTTCTAACCTTGCAGTTCAAACTGACCATATGGTCCAGTGTTTATGCTATAGTGCCACAACTAGGTATTTTGCTTTTCACTGTTTTCCTGTTGCTGGACAGTAGCATTTTTTTCAGCCTTTAAATTTATATATAAAACAACATGGTGAATATTTTATTGCATAAAATCTTTATCATATTTGCATTATATCCTTAAGACAGATTTAAGGAATGGAATTTTTGACACAGACATTGAAAGATCTTTCAAAAAATGATGCTCCAGAATTAAGAAGAAACTAGGAACTCTATGATAACAAAACAAAACAAGAAAATAGACTATTCAGAATTGTAAAGAGAACCACAGAAAGCACAGTTAAAAAGAACCTTTCTATGGTTACACCAAGGCTCAAAGATATGGCTGAAAAGTGCCCCTGTATAGGGGCTTGAATTGAACTAGAACAAAGTATGAAGCAATTTATGTTTCCAGGGCACTGTAAAAAATATGGAACAATTAACTATCAATTAGTGAAGACTAACATCTGAATCTGATACCAATAGAGGCAGATCAGCTAGAAGCTTCATATGGAGATCATGGACAAAGACAGTTCAAGAAAGCCTGATGAAATCACCTGTCATCCTGGAGAGAAGGGTTAGGGTGGGTGTACATAGATCTATGGGGAGGGGGGTCATATGCCCCGAGGAACAACATCTAAGACTATATACAGCAAGATAAATAAGCTCAGTGGAAATAGTCCAGCCAAGTCACTAAACTAATGAAAAAGGAAGCAAAAAAAGCAAGTCACAAAAAACCCCAGAGTTCGAGAATCAGTATTCAGAGTGGCTCTGGTAGCGTAGTGGCTACGAATCGGGCTGCGAACCTTAAGGTCAGCGGTTCGAAACTACCAGCCGCTCCGCGGGAGAAAGATGAGGCTTTCTACTCCCGTAAAGATTTACACCCTCGGAAACCCTGTACAGGGTCGCTATGGGTCGGAACCGACTCGACGGCACTTAACAACAACAACAACAGCATGTTACATAAATGTCCAGTTTCAACAAAAATATTTGACATGCAAATAAGCAGGAAAGTTTGATCTGTCCTCAGAAAAAAAACAAAAATAACAAAGCAAAATAAATTGTCTTTGAAAGGGCCCAGATGTTGGACTTAGCAGATGATGACTTTAAAGCAGCTATTTAAAAATGATAAAAGAACTAACGCAAACTACATTAAAGAAGTAAAAGAAGGCATGAAAACAATGTCTCATTCATAGAGAATATTAGTAAAAACATTGGCATTGTTAAAAAGAGCCGAATAGAAATTGTGGAGACAGAGTGATAGAGATTGCACAATCTAAAGAAAAGAAAAATGAAGACCAATCATTCTAATACGCTTTATTCCGATTTGCCTTCTTTGGGCTGTTATTGTTATAGTCTGTATGTTATAGCCTCAGTAACACAATGCAATGATGTATATATCAATGTTTTTTAAAATCCGTTAAGATAAGAAAGGAGAATATATAATTATACTGACTCCTGATGTGGTGCTGTAGTATCAGCACTGGACTGCGAACTACAAGGTTGGCAATTCAAACCTACCAGCTGCTCCCCTGAAACCCTACAAAGGGTCACTGTGAGTCAGAACTGACTTGACAGCACTTAATAACAACAATGATTTGTAATTAGAGTGTTAGGGGACTGTGGCATACCACTAAATACACCAATACACACAACTGTGGGCTAGGCACTTAGCTGCTAATCAAAAGGTCAATGATTCAAAACTTCCACTAATATGCAGGAGAAAGATGAGGCTGTTGGCTCTATAAAGATTTACAGTCTTGAAAACCCTTTATAGGGTTGCTAAGAGACAGAACTGACTTGATGGCAATGGACTTGAGAGTATCGGAAGGATAGGAAAGAGAGCAAGGAGTACAAACATGTTCAAGGAATAACAGTAGAAAACACCTCAAATTGGCTGAGAAACATTTGTCTGCATGCTGAAGATGCTCAATGTATTCCAAGTGTGATCACTGTAAAAAGATTCAAATCTGTGCATATCATAGCCAAAATGAAAGTCAAAGACAAAAACTAATCAAACAGCAAGAGAAAAATAACTTGTCAAGTAAAAGATTGATTGATTGTTGTTGTGAAGTGCCACTGAGTTAGTTCTGACTTATAGCAACCAGACTATAGGGTCTTAACTTTTCTCCTGCAGATGGTAGACTTGAAAATTGACCTTGTAGTTTGTAGCCCAGTGCTTATTCTATCAAATATGACTTTATATTGCTAGTTTCAGAAAACAAAGATGGAGAAATTTTTTTACAATCAAAACATGCTTTACACAAAATATTAAAGGAAATGCTTCAAGCTGCAAACAAGTGCTACTGGCCAATATTTTGAATGCACATACACACACACATACACACAAAGCAAAGAACACCAGTATAAGTTGTTGTTAAGTGCTATCAAGTCAGTTCTGACTCATAGCAACCTTGTATAGGGCTTCCAAGGAGCAGTTGGTTGGTTGGAACTGATGATCTTGTGGTTAGCAGTCCATTGCTTATCCTACATTGCACACCAGGACTCCATCCAGTAAAAGTAATTAGTAAGAAATAAAAGGACAATAAAATTATGTATTTCTTCTCCTTCTTTTAACTGTTTTAAAAATCAGTTACATTATATGTGCATATACTTGTATCATTGAGATTTAATGTATAGAAATGTAATGTATATGAATATAACAGTAAAGAGGTAGGTGAGAACAAAGTGTATGAAGTAAGGAAATGACTTCAGATGGTGTCTTAGTGACCTAGTGCTGCCATAATAGCAAGTGGGTGGTTTTAAAGACAGAAATTTATTTCCTCACAATTATGAAGGCTAGAAATCCAAAGTAGGGTATCATTTATTAGGGAAGGGTATTCCTTGTTGGTAGCCATGGGAGTTCTTTGGCATTCCATGGTATCTCTTTTTCCCAAAGTGTGTTTCTTAGTCTATTCTTGTCTTAGGCTGGGTTTTTGAGAGAAGGAAAACTAGTGAAACAATACATATATATTGTTGTTGTTAAGTGCCTTCAAGTTGGTTCCAACTCATAATGATCCTGCATGGGGTTTCTGAGGATCCCCTGGTGAGCTTGAACCACTGACCTTGCAGTTCAAACTGACCTTGCAGTTCAGTGCATTAACCAGCAGTGCCATGATATATATATCTTACGATTGTAGAGTCTTAGGTCCCCAGCAGAAGAGAGAGAGAGTTCCTCCTATGTATTCATTGTATGAGGAGCAGGCCACACCTTCAAGGAAACATCCCTTTATTTAATTGGCTACCCATAGCCATTCATCTAATAGTTAACTGTGACTGTATTAGGTTTCATCACCAAGTGAATTAAGCACATCCCAACTGCTAAACCTCTGGAAAACCTGGCCTAGTCAAGTTGACACAAAACCCTAATCATTATAATTCTACTGTTTTTATAACTCAGAAGTTATTAGATTAAGGTCCACTGTGAAAGTCAAAAAGTGGAAATAACTCAAATGTCTCTAACTGATGAGTGGATATTTGTGGTATATCTATGCACATATAAATAATAATAAATATTATTATTTCACAAAATGAAAGGGAGGAATATTGATAGCTGCTGTTGGACTGCAAGGTCAGTTTGAACCACAAGGTTGGCAGTTCAAGCTCACCAGCCACTCCTTGGAAATGCTGTACAGGGTCATTATGAGTCGGAACTTACTTGATGGCACTTAACAACAATAACTTAACATGGATGATGCTTGAAAACATGCAAAGTGGAAGAAGTCAGTCACACAATAAAAGATATGTGATCATATTTATGTAAAATGTCCATAATAGGCAAATCATAGAGACTGGAAGTAGATTAGTGGTTCCATAGAACTGAGGAAGGGGACATATAGAGAATAATTGCTAATGGATACTGTGTTTCTTTTAGGGATGATGAAAAAATTCTGACATTACCTTGTGGTAATGATTGAACAACTTTCTT